CACGCGGGAGGGGGGAGAAGACTGGGCGTGAGGCATCTCTCTCTCGCTCACTGCCTTCCCCATTTCCCGTTCTCGAGAGACAGAACCCTGTAGCTTTTTCCTTTTTCTTCCCGGTCTGAACAAAGACCTGGTTGGAAATGAAAGCCTAAAACCGTAGATCAGAGCCCGTGCTGTCCCTTGCAGCTCACGGGCCAGGACTCTGATCTCTGGGGAGCCAGGATCTCATGGAGGAGACCTGGAGCCACTTGGGTCCTGGCTGGGGGCCTGGGTTGTAAAAGCTGGGGACAGGGACACCTAAGCAATGCTCAGGGAATTCATACTTTGTGAACCTGGCCAAAGCCTTCTTTCTGTTCCAGGACAGCCTTCCTCCCACCCCTTCCTTTTTGGGATTCCAAGGATTGGATTGGACAGACTATGGGGCAAAAATATGGAAGTCAGGCATGGCTAGGGTTTCCAAAAGTGGGAAACCTCAGGCTCTGGACTGAGTTGCTGTGGCAGAGAACGGGAGGCCTCACTCTCCCACACCCTCAGTTAGCGCGAGGTTCAGTGGAACAGGACTGCTGTGGATGGGGCAGGACCCGTACCCAACTTTGGCACCAGGCTGTACCTGCCCAGGATGACCCATGGCCCTCTATGCTTTCCCAGCTGTCCTCCACACCTAGAGACCGTCCCCTCCATTCCGTCAGGAGTGCGTGCTCCCACCTGCTGCCCCACGGGCTCTGGTGTCCACTCACACACCATGCTTTTACACCTGCCATTCCTTCTGCCTAGAAGGCCCTTCCCGACATCCTCTCCCTGGTAAACTCACGCTGGTCCTTAAGGCTTCTCTGTGAAACTTTGGCTGAGAGCCCAGTGCTGATTGGAAAAAAAGGGGGCTGCTCTCCCCATCTGCCTCCCATCAGCCTAGGGAGCTGGGGAAACCTGGCCACATGCTCACGGCTAGCTCAGGGCTGAGGTCAGTGTCAGTACTGAAGAGAGGGGGCTGGGGCCTGGGGTGCATTTGTGATGTCTGGAAATTGTGGAGTGACGCTCCGCCCTGTAGCTCCTTTCAATTCCGGTCAAGAAGATGGCCTCGTGTCCTTGGGATGAGTTTACCTTTAACCCCATGGGACCTTTGGGATCAGTTTCCCCATCTATACAGTGGCTTCCCTTTCCGTTCTGTTGGGGGCCAGGAGCAGTCAGGCATTTTAGCTGCAAATCTCTTAATCTGAGCACAGTTTTAGCGGAACCTTGAATCATGGGGCATTCTTTCAACAAGTGGCTGCCCACCATATACCCAGAATGGCAAGCCTGTGAGTTTGCAGCTTACGATAGATGTGGTCTGTGCCCTCATGAAGTTTACAGTCTGATGGGAAAGACTGGACAAAGTGAGGAGTGGTAAAGGACCTAGAGATGCAGAAATGGCCTCCATCTCCCCAGGCCCTCCCCGGCCCACAGCGATGGTCAGTCCTCCAGTGGGGAGCAAAGAACCAGGGGGAAGACATCTGCGGCCACGGGGTCTCACTTACCCACTTACCCGGGAAAGCCTAGTAATATAACTGCTGTTTTATCCCCATCTTACACACCAGGAAACTGAGGCTCAGAGAGGGCAAAGACCCTGTGTAGGGAGGCAGGGGGGAGTGACTACCACATTGGAGCCTTCTATCTTCTTGCTGTGGCACAGGGTACCACTAGCCATTAAATTTAGAAATTCAGGGGCACCTGGCTGGCTCAGTCAGTGGAGCATGTGACTCTTGATCTTGGGGTTGTAGGTTCAAGCCCCATGTTGGGTGTAAAGGTTACTTTAAAAAAAATCTTAAAAATAAAATAAAATGTAGAAATTCAGTCTTCAGTAGCACAAACCACATTCTAAGAGCTCAGTAGCCACCTGTGGCTGGTGGCTGCCACATTGGCAGATATAAACATTTCTATCATTACAGAAAGAAAATTGTTAGTGCTTCTCAAACACAGCCCACGAGCCAAATCTGACCCACTGCTCGTTTTTATAAAGTTTTATTGGGGCACAGCCATGCTTATTCATTTGTGTGCTGCCTACAGCTGCTTTTTGTGAAAGTTCTATGAGACATCGCTGCTCTGGGCAGGGGTCAGCAGACCACCACCACTGGGCCAAGCCTGGCCCCGGTTGTGTTTTTATAAATAAAGTTTTATTGGCACACAGTCCTGCATATTTGTTTACATACTGCCTGTGACTGTCTCCTGGGCTATAGAGACAGAGTTTGGTAATTGTGACAGAGATCATGTGGCCCACATCTGAAAATAATTACTGTCCTTGCCCTTGACAGAAAAAGTGAGCCAGCCCCTCCTCTAGAGATAGTCTCACAGCACAATCTGATAATCCTTGCTCTAGAACTGGTTCTCAAAGTGTGGGCTTTGGACCAGTAGTAACAGCATCACCAGGTAGTGTGTCAGAAATGCAAAGTCTTGGGCCCTCCCCTGGACCTACTGAATCAGAAACATGGGAGGTGGGGCCCAGGAATCTGTTTTTTAACCAGCCTCCCAGGTGAATCTGATGCACACTCAAGCTGAAAACCACCAGCCTTAAAACATCCATGATGGATGTGCCCACGAGTGACGGGCATGGTACAGGTGCCAGTGGGCTCCCGTGGGAACAGAGCCATCGGAAAGTTGTCAGGAGAATGATAGCCCTTGGGCAGCAAGGCCTTTGACGTCCCCTCAACGAGGCCATGGCAGCCGGGAGAGGACCTCTCACCAGCCACCCTTGCTGGTGCCCAGGCCCCACTGCCTGGAGGCCCACCCTCCCACGGAGTTGTCAGCACATTTGGAACTGTCTCCACACATAAATTCATGGGCCAGCTGTCTCTTTTAATCTGGTTGCAAGATGAAACCATTAATAGATGTCAGACACATTGGCAATGATCTCTTCATTAATAATTTCCTCCTTTCTGAAGAAAAAAAATTAGTAACAAGCAACCATCAATAATTCAAAAATACAAGTTAACCTTTCTATTAGCATGGCTTTGCACACGCCATGGCTCTTTCAGAGCCAGTAGTTCCGGGTTGAATAGTGTTTTATGACACAAATATGCATTAATGCTGTCTGTCAAGACGCGCAAATATAAATAACCCGAATGCAACCTAGAAACCATAAGTAGTTTTCAAGTGTAACCTCATGATCCAGCCATTTTGTTCTGTGAAAACATGCATTACCCAATAATATTGCTATGTCCAAAAGCAGGACTTCAGGAAGGAATCGTTTTCAGCTTGAGGCCCTGGTGGTTAGAAAGATTTCCCTTGCGCTGAACCAACACTGCCACAATGTAATTTCCTCCCTTCGACGTTGGCTCCTCTCTCTGGGGACACACGGAAAGGCCTGGACACACTTCCAGGGGACTCGTTTGGACGTTGGTGTGTTCTAGGTAAGCATTCTCGGTTCCTTTACACGCTGCTGCTGCTTATATGATTCCCAGTCTCCCACCATCTGGTTCCTCTTCTTGGACATGCTGTATTTTGGTAATACCCCTCTTTTGAGCAAGGCCTCGCACCTGCCCACGTTCCCCACGCCTCCATTTACCACCCAGGTGACCGTGAACTAGTCACTCTCCCTCTCCAGTTCTGTTTCCCCATCTGTGAAATTGGGGTGATTATTCCCACCTCACTGAGCTGCGGGAGAATTATGTGAGTTAATGGATGTGAAAACATCTAGAATAGGACCTGGCCCACTCAGGAGATCATTTCCTTTCCTTTCTTTCCTACTTGCAAGTCTTGGATTAACATACCATCCCAGCCTTGATTCCAGGAAACTATTACAGACACCTGGTCAGCAACACAGCATGGAGAGCCAGCTGCTTCGTCCTTGGGCCAAAACACCAGCACACGGTCCAGACTATTTATTGGCAAGTAGACCTCTGTGCTTGGGATGCCCTGGATTTAATGCGAGGACCACATCTCTCTTTTTGCCTAAGTGGGATCTGCCAAACAGCTGTTTCTTTTAATTAAAAAAAAATAATATACAAAACTAAGTGTTGTGTGCCAGGTACCCACCATGGATGTTTTGTCTCTAACCTGCATCCAGCCTCATGCTGAGCAGTGGAGTGCCAAGATACCATGACCCCATCCATAGGAGCCCACGGTCAGCCCACGCAGGGAGGTCACACCCACCCACTGGGGACAGGGTAGTTCATGTCAAGGTTTGAATAATGGACATCAGTCATGATTGAGACCTAGCTCCAGCCTTGGCTTCTTCCTTCCAGCAACGTGGTTCTCTGAGGAAGCCAGAGAAAAGCCGTGTGCCCTGGACTTGCACACCAGTACTGAGGTCCTGGACTCTCAGCCCCTCCAGACTCAGGTGCATACCAGACAGTTCTTGGGCACATGAAGTTTGTGAAAGGATCATGCAGTGTTAGGAGCAAGGAAAGCTGAAACCTCTGGATACAGCTCTGAGC